CTCTCTCTCTCTCTCTCTCTCTCTCTCTCCCCCCCTCCCCTGCTTGCTTGCTTTCTCTCGAAAAAAAATAATAAATAAAAGTATATGTTCTTGTTGGGGTAGGAGGAAGAAAATTCAGATCTCTGTCTTCTGATTTTTTAGACCCAGGCATGGATAGAAAATCCCAGAAGAGGGCAGACAAAAGAGGAAACAGAGAGGAGATCTATTTGTTTTTATCCACCTCTGTTCCAAAATGGCAGAAGATCCAATGTGGGGAGCGGCTACTCTAAGAAGCAATGGTTCTTACTGTCAAATGTCATCATGACAAAATCTTTATGCCTCCCCCCAGTTCATCCTTTAACTGCCAAGGCTTCAGGAGGGCACAAGTATTGTGGCCTCTTGGCAGCCTGGGTCTGAGAAAGAAGCAGACTCTGATCCTGACTCTCCAATCTTCCAAAGCCAACTAAATAGACAACTTTATTTCAGCCCAATTGCCAGCTGATCTGTGAGCCACTCTCTGGCACACTCCTGGAACATAGTAGGTGCTCTATACATACTGTTAGATAAATGAATGAGCTAGGGAGAGGGGACTGCAGAAGAAGCTGAAGGAATGGTTTTCATAGAAGATTCTATGCAACTCAGAGGGCTTTTTGCTGATTTCTGCTCAGAACCCAGCTCTGGAATGCTCAAGGATGCCATCTGGGATCAGTAGAGATGTATCCTTGGCAGGGATATCAGCATTCTTACTTCAAGGGACTTTGCAGGGAACTGACATCTGTAAGGGGGCAGAGTAGGAAAGAAATACCATAGCTGTGAGGCAATTTATGGAAGATATACTAATTTTTGAGTCTATATGTGATATCCCCTAGGAGTCCTTGACTAACTCAGCATTTGTAGGGGGCTAAGGTGGTGACAGCATAAGAGTATAAGAGAAAGAGTCAGTGAAATTAAGGAGGGGGGCTACTATTACAATGAGTCCATTTTGTGCTCTAAAAATATCTGTATTGAGAGTGAATTATGTGTTAGATCCCATGCTATATACTTCAGATATGTTATTTTGTGCAATTATCACAGCAACGCAATTAGGTATCTCATTTTAC